TTGAAAGTCTCCTTACGTCTAGTTCTGTCAGTCTTTCGATAATTTTAAAGTAAAAATGACACTGCAAGAAGGGGCATTTTCATTTAAATACAAAAATGCCACTTTCATTTCCACAGAGAGGAAGGCAGAAGACGAACAAGTGCATTATAAACACATTTGTGTACCACAACATCAAGCATAGGAAAGAAACGAAAATAACATGAAGGTAGACTGCTTAGTAGGATTTCTGACATGCCACACAAACTAAATTGGTACAATTGCCCTGAATGCAGTCCTCCTACATATGGGCATGTTGAATACACAGAAAAGGAGGTGAAGGGGCCATAGCATATGTAAAAAATATTTACAGTGACTAATTTGATCTCTATCTTTAAAGAAAAAGCATGAGAAAATTTGCCATATGCTTTAATGGCAGCAACTCTTGGCAATCAGCAAAATACAGCTCCAAAATGCACAATGGTGAAATTTTCATGTGTCTACTGTATAGTACCAACTGTTATATAAAAAAAAAAACTGATCAAAAAATTACCTGTGGAACTCCTCACAAATTATTGCAATTCACAATCCATGTTGCTTTTGGGAGATTTTAACAATACAGCTTCATACTGAATAATGCAAACAGTCTGACACTGATGAAAGCATCTCCCTGCTGCCTGCAAGAGAATTTCGTGGTCCAGAAAGTAAAAACTTCAACCCCAGGAGAACCTGTCTTGGAAGAACTACTTATTTATAGAGACTCCAGGACTAAGGAAAGCTGTAATGGAGGTAATCATAACTGATAGCTTGAATTCAGCATAGAAGCAAGAAGTAGGTTCAGAGAGTGCAAGATCAGAAGGAGATGTGGCTGCATCCAGGAAATGCTGAGACCTTAAGAAATCTGTAAAGTAATACTGAATTAATATAGTTTAGCTTTTGCATTCAGAAGATGGGAAAAGGTGCTCTCTTTCCACTCTGTGCTTACTAAACATCTGCAGGCAAATTTTGTAAATACCAGATGCTCAGTGAAGTATCTCTTAATAGGTTGACAAGCTTGTTCCAGAACAATTGAATATGTTTTGAAGCCATTAGTGCTCTTGCACTCCACATTACTTTGACTTCGCCTCATCCTGTGCTTTCCAGCAACGAGAAGCAGCTGGTTTAAGTGTCATTTATGCCTGAACAGCTAAAGATTTCACTAGCTAATAAGAAAGAAAGAAGACTGAATTTCAGTCTCTCCAGAAAAAATCCTGAGAGGTCAGGCCAGTGCTTTAAAATGAGAAGGTTATGTAAATAAAACAGAAAGATGTCCAATAGGAGCAGAAGCGTTGTTAGGGTGTGAAGCACATCAGCTGGCCAGGAGGTCACCTCCATGTCTTCTGAGAAATTTACTTCACGGCTGAGCCCTGAGAAAGCAACTCCAAACCTCATTCATACCAGAAGACGACTAAGAAGACGGTCCAGGTGGTCCAAATAAAGTTCCAAGCTCATTAGGTAGTTCAGTGCTATTTTAGTACTCCGTTCCAGACAAGCCTTTCCCTCTCACCTCAGCTGCACTAGTTATTAGCAGAGGCTCTTGCGACTGGTCAGAAGGATTTTGGGTGGGTGTTGCACAGGGCTTCCAGGACCTTGGTGTAATACAACAGTTTTCCCATACCTGGAAAGTGCTACACATGAGGTAAAATGGAAGGCAATTACTTAGGAGATCAGCTAAGAGAAATTAATCATGGTAGAATTACATGGTGGAATTAAAAAAAAAGAGAGAAAAGTTAGCTGGAGCATTAGGAAAAACAGCCTGACATAAATTAATTCAAGCTGATGAGTGACATGACATGTCACTACTACAAAGCATTGGCCTTTGGGATATACCAAACTAGATATACTATTAGAAAATGCATCCTGGAGAACAAGCTTTCAATGACAAGAGAAGGGATTGCATGATGTATTTTTTGCCTTTTTTTATTCTCGATCTAGGATATGTAGCATGTTCTGTGATGTGGATTAGCAATGTTTGATCTTTGTGGGGTAATTCTGAGACAGCAATCAGTAATTTACATAATTAGCATAACAGTATTTAATTATATGATTACTGTAAATATGTGTAAAATTCTAATGGTGTAATTAGAATATGTAATTACGACTTATAATTACGTAATTAGGTATGATGACATAACTAAACTTCTCATAAAAAAAGCATAATTACAAGCCCAGCTATACAAGCCCAGCTATAGGAACCAGTATAGCACGCAATTATATATATGATATGAAATGAAAAGTTACCATTTTAATGCTAGTTGTGCTAATACTAACTCAAAAGTAGATGAATGCTTAAAGTTTGTGAACTGTGTCATAGTACTAGAAGAAAACGTTGACTTTCCTGAACAGGGGCAGTTCTATGGTTACAGTCAGTACAAACATTTTTCTCATCCTTAACTATCTGATTCTTATTGATAACTCTTTGTAGACTTAGCTGAATGATGTGAGCATTAAGACCACTATAACAGAAATATTCAAATCTCTACATTGTGTAGCATTTTCAAATTACTGATTCAAGTAGTATATCACTTTTAAGTCTTCAAAGCACATATGAATTCACACTCCTCCCCCGATACCACGCCACAGACACCAGATTGGTGGTACCTCTGTGTGTGGGTGCCTACCCGGGGAAGTACAGAACAGAATCTTTTTACCTCTGCACTCCAGTGCTGCATTGCCCTGCCATCCCATTTACCACACGATACACACTTTGCAGCTAGCAAATTAACATCTGTTGCAAAGCGTATTTTAAAACTCATTGTCCTTGATCCCTATATCAAAGCAATTTGACTGCTGTATAGACCTTTATTGTAATTATAAAAAATTTTGAACACTCAACACAATTATACTTTCAAACACCTTAGTGCTCATCCCTATGGGCTAGTTGATGGAGTCCTGGGTCACGATTATGAGCATTTGTCTACAGAAGCATCTCCAGAAAGATCATATGAGTAGGTGATTGGCTTACCAGTGCAAATCCCCCAGGCATGACCCAGAAAGACAGTCTGTAGGTAGTATGTTTTACAAATCAGTAATTGAAATTAGCAGAATTCTTTCACTGCTTCAATATACTGGAAATTTGTACTATCAATATACTGGAAATTTATATTTTTTGTATTTACATGTTATATGCTCTCCAAAGTAGAAATACTTATGTGTGTATATACATACATACACCTAAAATCCGATCCAGTATAATATGTAATATATGGAACTTCACACACAGAATTTATATTTACATGTAATTACACATACTTCTACAAAAAGAAATAGGAAATAATAGATGATGATCCAGAAAATACAATGATCACTTCAAGTAATAGCTCCAAATACCCTATTTCGAGCAAAATGGGAAATTAGTGTTCCATGATCTATAATCTGAGAAACGTTCATATGCACTGTGAAAAACAGAAGGGATAAACTCTGAAGGGATGGATGAGATTCCTGGTAGAATTCCAAATGGCAATTCAATTGCCCTTTATAAGGAAATACATGAAGTGTTTCACCAGCAACTTTTACAGAAGACTTTAATAGATATTTTCTTTTTTTAAAAATTATTTAAGGCCTGCATAATTTCTCAAAGCAAATCTTTAACTTAGATTTCTCTCTAGAATTATATACACGTTACATTGGACTCTTCATATCTTTTTCCTGTTGCATATATAAATCCGGAAATTTCCCAGCTTGTCATTTGTGGTTATTAGTCTATGCTAGTTTTTTCTCTCTTCTTCCCCACGCGTCCACAATGTGAACATAGAAAAATGAATCATATTCTAGTTTCATCTATTTAGTACTCAACTTGCAACATTTTTTTTTATTATTATTCCTGCTCCACATAGTAGATATTCTCTGAGCTAGAAACCTCCTTTCTTGAATGTGGATGACTTCAGTATTTCAGGTATTTTGAATGTAGTATCTAATACTACAGATGTTAATACACAAATACTTTCCTTTTTCTCTTTAAGGTACCAGGCTTGACATATCTTGGGACTGTATTAGCTTTTTCCACAATACCATCTATTAGCGTCCTTTGTTCAACTAAAACACACAGGCTTTCTTCTCTGCAGTATTTCAAATCCATGAGCCTCTAATATCTTTTATTAAATGTTAAGGTATATTGCATACCATAGCAATTTATTCTATTTTTGTTATTCTGGTCTTCAAGATTACCTAGTCTTTCATGTGTGAAGAACTCCTCTGTAGTAATAGCTTTAGGAATCAGACCTTTATAGTGCATTCATGGCCAATGTTATTGGTAAAATCATGCGAGACTGTTCCTGGGACAGATCACAGAATCACAGAATGGTAGGGTTTGGAAGGGACCTCTGTGGGTCATCTAGTCCAACTCCCCTGCCGAAGCAGGGTCACCTACAGCAGGCTGCACAAGACTGTGTCCAGGCGAGTCTTGAATATCGCCAGAGAAGAAGAACCCACAACCTCCCTGGGCAGCCTGTTCCAGTGCTCCGTCACCCTCAGAGTGAAGAAGTTCACTCTGAAGAAGAAGATCCTGGAGGAACTCCACTAAAGATTTATTTGTAAATCTGTGGTCCAAATTTCAGGGGCCAGAGACATGTCAGAGAAAGTAACATATATTTTTGCTTTGCTCTTACACTTGCTAACACCTGCTAATAATTACTGTTGAGGACAGGATACTTGGCAATATGAATCCCTAGCCTGAATCAGTTATTGTATTTTTCTACTTTACACATTGTATTTTTCTACTTTACACTATTTACTCCTTCTTGTTTGACTTTCAGACAATACTTTTGCATTTTGCAAATGTTTCCATCATATCAGATGCTTGACTTGAATGCATGACAGCTTTTCTGTCTTTAATTTCCTCCATTTTGAAAAAGAATAAGATGGCTATTTTGAGCATTATGTATTTGTAGACTAGAGAAATATTTCCATAGTACAATACAGTTGTTTCTGTAGAAGAAATTATTTATTTTATTCAAAAAATAGATGTAAAAACATGCAATACTTACTCTGTTGGCAGTTTCTTCCCATAAATTCGCCTGGACATTCACAGGAGTAGTTGGCAATGAGATCTGTACAGATTCCGCCATTCTTGCAGGGTTCAGCTTCACATTCATTTACATCTGCAGGAAGCACACAAGATAATGTCAGGACTAGCAAGGGGAATTACTAAAGCAATAAGCACATGTTTTAAAGCACTAAAACACAATGTATTTATGCAATTGACATTAGAAGACATACTTTCTTTTGCCCAGCAAACGTGCTGAGTGTGACTAAACAGGACAACATGTTTCAGGAAAAAATCATAACATTCTCATATAAATTTAGCTAATTTCATATACCTGCTAAAGTAATTTTACTATGTCCCATCACACAACAGCATTTAAAGTTTTGCTTCCAGAGGACATAAGGGCTACAGGTCACAGTTTGGCCTTAAATGAACAAATTCAATTAGTTCTAACAGAGTACTCATTAGTGATCCTTGCACCTTCAAAAAATGTAGCTATTTCTTTATCAACAGTTGCCAATTAACAATGCCTCTCAGTTCATCTTAATTCATTAAACATCTAATTGACAAGCTTGTTTAGCCACCTAAAAAATTCCCTTTCTGTGCATGAGTTAGTGGGCAAATTGAAACTAATAGCTTGATCTAGAAGCTTGCAAATTTTATTAAAATCAAAAGACAGAAGAGGTGGTTAATTTCATTTGAGTTCCCCTTTTCCAGTACACTTTGTCAAATGCTGCAAGAATAATACTCCCCTGTGTTTTTCAGTCTGTAACGTTCAAGCATAACATCAAATTCTTTTTCTCAAATGTGGTATAATATTTTTCAGTCATCATAAATAGGCAGATGAAGGATAATGATATCGCATAATTAAAATTCTCTGTCTCTGCATTTATGTTTATTCTGTATGGAGTAGAAACATACGGATTTTATATGCCATTGTCTCAGAGGGCTACATCAATGCATACAGTTAAATATTTAAAAGATGGGAGCCCACCCTAGCTTCATTAAGACTTGAAGTTCTGTTGCATTAGACACTGTAAACAGCAAACAGAAAAGTAGTCTTTAGGTTGTACTACAATTTTACTTCACTCAGTTTTGCTTAATTGCATTTTCATTTTGGATACAGTTGCCGATAAAGCACACGTGTAACAGCAGAGAAATAAGTTCAAATGAGAAGACACGTAACAGAGGTGAACTAGTTGCATTCATTGCTGGGCAAAATGTCCTATGCATTGAAGTAATACTCCTCACCGTTGTGCTGAATCTGCTTCTGTCCCCAAGATGCAACAACAGTTTGTGCTGGCATATACAAACTAGAGAAGATGCTACAGAAATATCCAAACTTGATGCAGTAATGCTTGTGGAGAGGAAGCAGAATTCAGCTCTGTCAACAAAGTCACTTGATTTCTGGTAGTTGAGCATGTAAGTTTTGTACTTTTAATTTGATTTTTGCAATTACTAGGAATCCACATACAAAAATTCGGTGTTTTATTACACAAAACATGCTTACACCTGATTGATTTTGTAAACATCTGCATGGAAGTCTGTACCTTCAGTCTTCTCTGCAGATCTAAAAAGCTGTGTAGCTTTTAAATTATGTGAGGTAGGTTGAAAACTGGTTGAATGGCAAGGCCCAGAGGGTGGTGATAAGTGGTGTGAAGGCTAGTTTTAGACCAGTAGCTATCAATGTACTCCTGGAGCCAATACTGCTCCGATCCTGTTCAATATCTTCACTAATGATCAGACACTGGGACAGCGTGCTCGTTCACCATCCTCGGTGGATGACAGCCTCACCTCCATCCCGGGAAAGGTGATGGAGCAGCTTATCCTGGAGCTCATCCTCCAGCAAGTGGAGGAAAAGAAGGTTATTAGGAGTAGTCAGCATGGATTCACCAAGGGGAATCATGCCTGACACCAATCTGATAGCTTTCTACAATGACTTGACTGGCTGGGTAGATGAAGGGAGAGCTGTGGATGTTGTCTACCTCGACTTCAGCAAGGCTTTCGACACAGTCTCCCATGATATCCTCCTAGGGAAGCTGAGGAAGTGTGGGCTGGATGAGTGGTCGGTGAAGTGGATAGAGAACTGGCTGAATGGCAGAACTCAGAGGGTTGTCATCAGCGGCGCTGAGTCTAGTTGGAGGCTGGTAACAAGTGGTGTCCCCCAGGGGTCAGTACTGGGCCCAGTCTTGTTTAACTTCTTCATCAACGACCTGGATGAAGAGTTAGAATGTACCCTCAGCAAGTTTGCTGACGACACCAAACTGGGAGGTGTGGTAGACACACCAGAAGGCTGTGCTGCCATTCAGCGTGACCTGGATAGGCTGGAAAGCTGGGCAGAGAGGAACCTGAAGAGGTTCAACAAGGGCAAGTGCAGGGTCCTGCACCTGGGGAGGAACAACCTCATGCACCAGTACAGGCTTGGGGTGGACCTGCTGGAGAGCAGCTCTGCGGAGAGGGACCTGGGTGTCCTGGTGGACGACAGGTTAACCATGAGCCAGCAGTGTGCCCTGGCTGCCAAGAAAGCCAATGGGATCCTGGGGTGCATCAAGAAGAGTGTGGCCAGCAGGACAAGGGAGGTTCTCCTTCCCCTCTACACTACCCTGGTGAGGCCTCATCTGGAGTACTGTGTCCAGTTCTGGGCTCCCCAGTTCAAGAAGGATGAAGAGCTACTGGAGAGAGTCCAGCGGAGGGCTACAAGGATGGTGAGGGGACTGGAGCATCTCCACTACGAGGAGAGGTTGAGGGAACTGGGCTTGTTCAGCCTGAAGAAGAGAAGGCTGCGAGGGGACCTTATAAATGCCTACAAATATCTGAAGGGTGGGTGTCAGGAGGATGGGGCCAAGCTCTTTTCAGTGGTGCCCAGCGACAGGACAAGGGGCAATCGTGGTCCTGTGCAGCCTCCTGTAGGTGACCCTGCTTCGGCAGGAGGGTTGGACTACATGACCCACAGAGGTCCCTTCCAACCCCTACTATTCTGTGATTCTGTGATTCTGTGATTGTGTGACAAACTGAGAGGAGTGGCTGATACACCAGGTGAGTGTGCTGCCATCCAGAGGGACCTCAAAAGGCTGGAGAAATGAGCTGAACATGTACCTCATGAAGTTCAATAAGAGGAAGCACAAAGTCCTGCAGCTGACCCTGGGGAGGAACAGCCCCATGCACCAGCACATGCTGGCGGGCTGACCAGCTGGAAAGCAGCTCGGCATAAAAGGACCTGGGGGTCCTGGTGGACAAGTTGACCATGAGATGGCAATGCACCCTCATGGCAAAGGAGATCAACAGTCTCCTGGGCTGCATTAGGCAGAGCACTGCCAGCAGGTTGAGGGAGATGATCCTTCCTCTCTACTCAGCCCTGGTGACGCAATACCTAGAGTGCTGTGTGCAGTTCTGGGCTCTCCAGTATGAGAGAGACATGGACATACTGGAGAGAGTCCAACAAGGGGCCACTAAGATGGTGAAGGGACTGGAGCACCTGGTCTGTGAGGAAAGGCTGAGACAGCTGGCATTGTTTAGCTCAAAGAAGAGGATTGTCAGGAGGAAACACATCAATATATAGACATGGACATACTGGAGAGAGTCCAACAAGGGGCCACTAAGATGGTGAAGGGACTGGAGCACCTGGTCTGTGAGGAAAGGCTGAGACAGCTGGCATTGTTTAGCTCAAAGAAGAGGATTGTCAGGAGGAAACACATCAATATATATAAATATCTGAAGGGATGGTGTACAGAAGAAGGAGCCTGGCTTTTTTCAGTGCTGGCCATGGCAGGATTAGAGGAGGATGTTCCGTCTCAACATCAGAAAACACGTTTTTACTGTGAGGGTGACTGAGCAGTGGCATAGGTTGCCCAGGGTGTTTGTAGAGTTTCAGTCCTTGGAGATTTTCAGAAACCATTCGGATGCAGTCCTGGGCAACCAACTCTAGGTGGCCCTGCTTGAGCTGGAGTGAGTGGACCAGACAACCTCCAGAGGTCCTTTTTACCTTCAACCCTTCTGTGGTTCTGTGATAATCTTCCTGTTGCTGTGAACAGAAATACATGGATATACCTTCAGCTAAATGTGGAGGCTAGCTTCAGTTCATTGAAACAGAAAAATTTCAGATTTTTATACTAAAATTTATGATGATTACTGATCTTTGAGCTTGTTTTTAATCCCTCATGTCTTACTATTTGATGCCTACAAAGATATCACATACTGGACTAATAAAAACTCACATGGTTAGGTGGATTTCTGTGTATTAAAGAGGAAGAAGAGGAGTAATAGCTTAGTGTGTGTGAAATAAAACCTGCCAAGGGAACTGACCAAAGAACTGACCTGTTCAATTCTAGATTAAATTCTTCATATGCATTTATAAAATTTAACAAGATTAGTCAGCTCCCTATTTGCCTTTTTAAGCAAAGCCCATTAACCTTGCATTTTCATCAGGTTATTCATCATTTTAATACAGGCTAACACATTTGTGAGAAAAAAAAATCAGTCATGTGAACAAAAAACTTTAAGTGAATATATGAACTATTTCTTACTTTGTGAAATAAAAGTAATTTATCCTCTCAAAAGCTTTTCTCTGTAAAGACAATATCTTCTAAAGATATTTAAATTTTTCTAATTTGCCATTCATGTTGAAATATGTAGGAAGAAGTACACATCTTTCCAGCATATTTCATATTGTCTATGTGATGATGTAGAAAACAGACTGAACCTTCAGTACCAGACACTTTTAAAGCAATCCTCATATTCTGTCCCTGTGGAGCAATTACCTATGATCAGTGCTGAAAGAGGGAAGTTTTTTTATTATTATCTTTGTTACTTGGATCCTACAGTGATTTTTTTCCAGTAATTTGAGAACCTTTAGTGCCATCAGCTCAAACAAAATATGTCATATTTGATGAATGAGGAAAGACTAGCTCATTGTAGCATCATGCTTGATACCGGAACAGAGATTTAGCTGCTAAGATAACAAACTGATCTGTGTTAAAGAAAGGAGAATAAGTTCTGCAGAATTATTTAATTTAGTACTCATTATTTCATTTGATTGCATCTGCAGATGTAGAATGTTTAATTAAAAGTGATTCCTGTAAATTATGGTCAGATTTTGTTCAAATTCCTTGATATGCC